AGGCTGAGAAGAATATCCAGGCCTTCTCCCTGCCTGACTTGCTGGGAAGACTCGGAAGGCAGCAACAGTACCTTGTATTTGACTATTTTGGTTGTGACGATTTGGGATGGGCTCATTTTAGCCAGACCACATTTGCCTGTCCACCAACCTCCAGGAGGTAGGCAACTCGAGACTATTTGTTGCCTCGGCCTTATTGAATCGAGGCTTTTATCTCTTGGCGGTTTTTCACGTGTGCTTTTGGTGGCGCTCCATTCTGGTACCTGCAATGCAAGACGAACGGTTGAGATCGTCATCTACGGTTCGCGACTCACCATGCAAAAATCTGGGCCCGCCCGCCCGTGCCCTCGGTGCATGGGGTGTACCCTAGGATATTTCCAGTTTCTTGATTTCGATTGTTTGCAAGATCCCTGCTTGGTCAGTTTTCGGAAATCAACTTCTTGCTTGTCCGTTAATTATTATTTGATTTCTTTGCTCTAACTAGTCTCTGCCAGTTTATGATTAACCCCTCTGTCATTTCTGACTAAGAACACTCCTATCCATCAACGGAACGAGCACTGCCGCGCAGGCCCCTTTTGCTGCCCCACACAAAAAGAACCCCTCTGGCCGAAAAGGAAAACGGACGCCGCCCAACCTCCAGAAAAATGACCGCTGTCACATACTAGCGGTGATCCCACCTCTCCACCTCACGACGACTGCCCACGCGACCGGTCCATCTCCTGTCCCCGACCGCGCCCTTCCGGTGCACCGCACCACGCCCTCTAAACCCCTTACTTGTTATCGACATGCCCGAAACGGCAACGGCCGCTACACGACAACAAAAGTTCCCACAGCAGAACGCAGCCTCCTGGCTGCGTCTGCAAATGGACTGATAGACCCCGCCTGGCGCGGTTGTGCAGCCAAGGGGCGGAGGGGTGACGCGCAAGGAGCGAGGAGGCATTTTGTGGGGCAAGGGGGAGGGGAAAAAAAGGGTCACCTCTTCAAATAGCAATGGTCCGCAGACGAATGCCTGTTCACAAAGATAAAAGCTTGGATCAGAATAATGATCCGTGTCGACTGGAACAGAAAAGCAGCAAGAGGGACAGCCATCAGGGGCAGGCATTGGTTTTTAGTCACCTGGGCCAGAGATAACAAGCTTGCTGCAGTCACCCACACAGGCAAACTGGTTATCTCTCCTTGGTTGCTGACATAAGTTCCTTCCCCCCACACGGTCCCTACCCGCCCATGTGATCGCCTCCCCTTCCCACATTGGACTTCACACTGGATTCCACACCTCCATACCCTCCATACCCCCCTACATCCTTGGTAGCCCTCCCCCTCTCTTCACAATCCTCCTTTCTTCTCTCGGCAGCTTTACCTATCACGAGAACCAGGGCACTCGGTTCCAGTCGGCGTTCGCTGTAGGCTGCAGGGGTTGGGTGGGGAGGAGAGTACCCAGTCAATAGATAGATAAGGAACTAGTGTTCCTCTCGAGCGATTTAAGCTCGAGGGCGGGCCGAAGTAGGCCCTGTTCAGACTAGACTAGATTATAATGCTTCCCCCCACCTTGATCGAGACCCCTCTCCCCACCCAAACTATCGTTCCTCTCACCATACCTGTCGCCCCCCACCTCTACTCATTATACCTGCTACCTCCCCCAACCCTTCTATGCACCTCCTTGCCCTCTGTTGTAGAGATAGTTAGTTAGAATTAGACAGAGTGATAAAAGTTAGAACACAGTTCAGAATAAGTTTAGATGAAACATAGGCGTGACTGTTGAGTAGAGCTTTGCTCCTCCAGCACTGCCTTCTAGATTGTTAGGGACTGCAGTAGAGACATAGAATGGCTGATGAGGAATAACAGACACAGGTAATATTGACAGAGTAGGTACGAGGCTATTGATTTGCAGGTGCATTGATTCATAAGTTAAACCGGCTGATGCTGTCGGGATAACTCCGGGTTGAATTGTGAGGTCCCCGGCCTCAGGCTACCCTTTGATTGAGAAATACATAAACCTTCTATTAAAGAAAAAAAAAAAAAAAAAAGGTCAGCAATAAGGACGTTTTGGGTCGTGCGAAGGAAAAGGCAGACACCACAGGGCATTTGTTGACGATCCCACCAAGTGACTTCGCCCACCGCAGAGAGCAAGAGGGAAGTGCATTTTTTTTTTATTTTATTTTTTTTATGGGCGACCGTGGATGCATCTGCAAATGACCGTGGGCAGGTCCGACACGCATCCGAACTAGTTTTAGGACCAGATACATCCACTGCGCTGTGGAGTCAAGCACGGAACACAGAATAAGAGTGCATCCCAACTCGTTTTTGGACAAGGTAGCTCCACAGCGCAGTGGAGTCGAGCACATAGAGCACAATCACTACGTCGTCGGTTCAAAAAAAAACAAAACAAAAAAAAAACAGCTGTGGAGCATGGAATTTTGGCTGGTCGATCCAGCGGCCTAGCTCAGTTGGTAAGGCACGCAAGTGGCATTCACGAGGTCTTGGGTTCAATCCCAATTGGCCTCATGTACCTTCCTGGGCAAGCTTGGCGCCCGCCACCTAGAGATATGCCGTTGGTCCCCCCAAGTGGCATTAAAAAAGCAGTCTCTGCTGATGTTCATAGGGGGAGGGGTACTCAGGGAGGCACAGCGACTGACCACTCAGATGATGCTCGGTCCCTCTGCTACCGGCTGTCCCCTGACCGGTGTCCCCTGGTAGGGGGTTCCCTGAAGGCTATCAGGCCACCCTAAGGCTATCAGGCCACCCTGGGCTGAAAAGGCCACCTGGTGTCAAATTAGACACAAGATTGAATTTACCTGGGCTGGTTAGTCCGACGATAATACCTCAAGGCCATCGCCCTTACAAAATAAAAACAAACAAAAACAAACAAAAAAAAAAATGGCGGGTCGACAACAAAAGTGCAAGATGGACACTCAAAAGTCCATCATCCTCGTAAGGTAAGCGAAAGCGCCACAGAGGAAATTATTATGATCTCGGCCTCGTCTGAAGGCTATAGCTACATGTAGCAGCCAGCAATCTAATGAGAAGCAAACATGCTACATAGTTTCCTGGAAGAAAGCACAGGTACAGACCTTTGTTAGACTACAGGAATCTCAAGATGTACCTGGAGATTATGATCATCGTCCCGGTACATTCAAAACGTTGGACTGGTCCGAATGCGCACCCAGTCGCGAAAAGCGTTCAAATGCATGTACTACTACGTAGAACGTTTGGTAGTGGATCGAGTGAGGCCAACAGAAGGTGAATGAATTAGAAGAAGCGCAGTTATCCGGGGCATCAGCAGCGTAACCTGCTGCTCGTTGATTCTGCAATCTGTGTGAGTTGATGGTGGCATTAGTTCATGCAGTGCCACACTCTGAGACCCTCAACGCGCGTTTCATTTGCGTCCATGAGAGAGACGCGTGACAGTCATATGGCGCACGACCGTTAGCTCGTACTTCTGCGTCGAGTTGGTGCTGGCTGGATGCGGGCACGATGTGCACATTCCTGATTATGTTGTCCTTTGAAACTTCATTTGTGCATTGACACTCCTGGGAAGCTGGAAGCAAGGAGTTACGCTTCACGGTTAAGGAGCTTCGTCGCCCTCGGTGCAAGAGGAAGTCAAGACTTAGTGCTTATCATCTGTTGTCACAGTTTTGTTTCCTCTCAAAACGCACATAGATATCTGAGCCAAAGGTTGTAGCCCCAGGTTTCTGCAGGCAGGCGGAAGAACTCGAGAAAGAAAGGAAAAGAAGGGCTCTGATCTATGAGGGGGGTTGGTGAATGGAAAGGGKTGTAGGAGGGGTGATTAAGAGGGCTATCTTAAAGGGCGGTTTTATTTTGGTGGTGACAAGGAGTGGGCGGCGCTGGCACAGTGGCAGGAGAGAGAGAGAGAGAGAGAGAGAGAGAGAGAGAGAGAGAGAGAGAGAGAGAGCGGAAGGAGGGTCAGTGCAAGGTTATCCCTTCAGTTGCTGTATGTTTTGCGATCGCATTGGATGTCCGATTTGAGATTCCCCAATTGGCTATTGCTTTTTTTTTCTTTTTCTTTTTCTTTTGAAATTTGGACCATTTCTCGATTTATGCGTGTCATCCTTGCGCAGGGGCCATGCTAATCTTCTTTCTCTGTATCGTTCCAATTTTAACGGATGTCCCGAAGGACCCCAATTGGCTATTGCAGTTGGTACCTTTTTTTTTTTCTTTTCAAAAAAAAAAAAAAAGTGCAGGGAGGYTGTCGATCGTCGGTCAGCCACCGTCCTGGCTGCGCCCCCACGCCAAGCGCGGTATCGGTTCTTGGGGTGTCGGCACACGAAACGAAAACGAAACGCATCTGCCCATGAAAGGTGGAAAAGTACAGTAAACCGACGAACCTGGCCATTTTCTGCAGGAAGATGCACTCGTCTCGTTTTTCGTTTTGTGTGCCGTTCGGCGACGCCCTTGGTTGAAAAAGAACGAGACGAGTGCATCTGCGAAAGGACAAAAAAGGAAAAAAGAAAAAAGCGAAAAAGAAAAGACCAGACAACCCCCTCGCATCCCCTCCCGCCCTGGTATCTCGCCGTTCCTCCCAAAGAGGAAACAGTGGACGCGGAGGTCCCCGCTCACCGACTGGTCTTAGACTTGTGGGCGACCGGACCCTTCGATGTGAATTTCTAAAGGCCGTTCTGCCAAAAAGACCCTACCAAAGCTTCATTCCGACGGACGACAACGACAAAAAGACAATGGCAATAGACGCAGCCTTTTGGCTGCGAATGGGCTCCTCGTTGGTCGGCCTTGAGCCTACAACCTCCCTCCCTTGCGGGTAGCGTGGCCCACCTGCAGGCGGTCCCTTTCTCGCCACGCCACTCCAGGCGCCCGTGGGGTCTAAGGGGCGAAAAGGGGTAATGGAAGGATGGCTCGGGAAAAAAAAAGGGCATCCCCCAGAATCGTAGCGTCGGGAACGGAAGGATGGCTCGGGGGAAAAAAGGCACCAAGAATGAGCATCCCCCAGAATCGTAGCATCCGTCGCGAGTAGCGGTAGGGTCGGAGTCTTGGAGAAGTGAAGTACAATTGTGAGTATACCCTTCCCCATCTTTCTTTCTTTCTTTCTCTTGGCTTGAAGGTGGGCGCGGTGGTTCGGCTGCGCGAAAGTCAGCCATCGCCGTTGCAGGAAAGTAGTGGAGCAATAGAACGCTCTGTGGCCTGTACTCAACGAGCAACTCTCCCTCTCGGGAAAATGAAGTACGTCGCCGCATATTTGCTGGCCGTTCTCGGCGGGAAGGCCCACCCTACCGCGGATGACATAGCTGACATCCTAGAGTCAGTGAGTGCCGATGTTGATCACAAGAGGTTGGACAAGTTGATGAAGGAGCTGGAGGGTAAGGATGTGAATGAAGTAATTGCGGCTGGAAGGGAGAAATTCTCCTCTGTCCCATCCGGGGGCGGCGCAGGTGCCGCGAGTGCTGGCGGCGGCGGCGGCGGTGGAGGTGACGCAGCTGGCGGCGCTGCCGCGGCAGAGCCGGAGAAGGAGCCAGAGAAGGAAGCAGAAGAGGAGGAAGAGGATGAGGATATGGGCTTCAGTCTCTTCGATTAAGGAGGAAGGGTTTTTTTTCTCTCTACGTCCATCTTTTTTGAAGATGGCCATTTCGGTGAACTCGTCGACTCTTTTTTTCAGCAATCGAGGAGGAAGAGGATGAGGATGAGGATATGGGCTTCAGTCTCTTCGGTTAAGGTGGAAGGTTTTTTTTTTCTCTACGTCCATCTTTTTTGAAGATGGCCATTTTGGTGAAGTCTTTGACTCTTTTTCAGCAATCTTGAAAGGACAGTTCTGCCAAGGATGCTAAATACCGGTCACAGATGACGCGGTCTTTACCTGCACAAAAAAAGCTGCCGGCCTGCTTGTCTGCTATGTAAGGATGAGGATATCTACGTAATTAGTGGACTGGTATGAGGGACAGAATCTGGAACTAGGGCTGAGCTGAGCTGCTATGTCAGGTTGCGCTGAATCAGGTTTTGGTGGTCGTCTTCTCTGGCGGGGTGAAAAGTCGAGGGCATAGTGCAGAGGAGAAAGGGAGGAAGCATGGTAGGGGGGAGAGAGACAGGTCTGTACCTATGGGCAGGGGGTGTGGGATTGATACTCGTATGAGGGGACAGAATCTGCCAATTAGGGCTGAGCTGCCATGTCAGGTTGCGATGAATCAGGTTTTGGTGGCCGTCTTCTCTGGCGGGGCTGAAAAGTCGAGGGCATAGTGCAGAGGAGAGAGGGAGGAAGCATGGTAGGGGGGAGAGAGACGGGTCTGTACCTGTGGACAGGAGGTGTGGGATTGATATTCAGTGCTATGGCTGTAATAACAGAGGGTTTCGTTTCTCCTGTCTTTTTGAGAAAACATTCTGATTGAGATGAGATGATGCCAATTTCCCGCACAAAAAAGGTTAAAAAAAAAAAACAAATCGAGCTCAGGGAATATAGCCCGCCCGCGTCATCTTTCCCTCGCGCCATTTGAATGCCTGCGCAGCAAATTTAACGTTGTCGTCAATCTTAATTATTGACAGCAAAATAAAGTTGTCGTCATCGCGGACTTCATCGTGGGCGCGCCAGCTTCATGGTCACTGACGTCGCCATCGTCTCAGCTGTCTTTTTGCAGGTCATTTGTCCTCCCCCTCCTCATCTCCTCCTCCTCCTCTCCTCCTCCTCTCCTCTTCCTTCTCTCCTCCTCTTGTTCTTCTCCGCTTCCCTCCTTTTTTGTCTCCTGCTCTCTTCTTCTCGTTCTTCACCTCCCCCTCCTCCCCTTCTCGTCCTCCACCTCCTTCTCCTCTTCTTCCTCCTCCTGTCCTCCTCCTCCTCCCCGGGAAGGGCAGGGGCGCGTTGAAGAAAGGGTGATGAGGCCAGGAAGTGGCCGTTGAAGGGTGGGTCATGTGAGGGTGTTTTATGCGTGCAGCCCGATAGGTCCAAAAGAAGGCCTCAGAGACTGAGGGCAACCCAGAAGCGACGGACTAGACGGACATTCTTAGCGCAAATTTGAGAGAATTCGCGCGAGACCGAGGCCTGCTGTGGTATGATTTGAGAACGACGGGCGTAGGGGTCTCAAATGCGAGACCGAGGCCGGCTGTGGTATGTTCTGAGAGCGACGGGCGTAGGAGGGCGATCAACAGAGAGACGGAGGCGATGTGGAGGAGGAGGTTGGGAAAAGGACGGAGGCGATGTGGAGGAGGAAGTTGAGAGAAGGACGGGCGATGTGGAGGAGGAATGTTATGTAAATTCGAAGATGGTGAAGGGAAGAGGGACGTCCAGGAGGATGTGAAAACGAGACTGCTGTCGTTTGGGACACAGCTGGTTGAACTGGAAGATTGCAGAGAAGAGAAGGGTAACTAAGCATGAACGGCACCCTGCGCTGTCAAGGATGACACGCATGAAGTGCGAGATGGTCCCGGAGAGAAAAAGGAAAAACTAAAGGCGGGTAGGATTGAAGCAGGGAGAGGGAGGATGCGTAATCGAAGGAGGAAGAGTCGTGCCCAGGAGGAAGGACGGAGATAGGGAGGGGAGAGTCAGCTTTATGCGTGTATCTTCTCCTCCTGATCCTCCGTCGCGTCCTCCTCAGCCTGCTCCTCCTCTTCTCTTCCGGCACCTCCTCGTCACGGCGAATACCGGAGAGAGAGAGAGAGAGAGAGAGAGAGAGAGAGAGAGAGAGAGAGAGAGAGAGAGAGAGAGAGAGAGAGAGAGAGACGTCTGTTCACCAGAGAATTGGTTTGTATAAAGTGAGTTTCCTTTCCCGTTTTTCTGCGCCTGCTGCATTTCGTCCCGCTCTAGATTTGTTTTCATCTCTGTTCGGTAGGGGGTATACGATCCCACCAGTGCAATGACTTTCCTGAATGTATCTGCCCTCAATTACCCACCAAATTCCGTCAATAATGTGGACCAGTATCGTATGAGTATGCACTTACAATTCTGCTATTGCTTATCGTCATTCCCTAGTGGGGGTATATTCTCTGCTCTCCTCGAGTGACGGCAACGTACATAGCATTTGGTCTTCTGTCCTCTTGCACAGGGTTGACCGAATTCGGTCGGTAATTAGGGTCAGATACATTCAGGGAAGGCCGTGTACTTGCGCGTTTGACAAAAGCATTTGGTTTAGGGTTCAGATTGAAGCATTTTGCAATAGATAGCTCTTTCTTAAAAAAAGTCAAAAAATAATAAAAGAAGACGAAAGATTATAGGTAAGGCATATAAAAGTCAAAAATTATAGATAAGTCGTATAACCAACAGAATGGTGTATCAGAAACAGGATCTTCTTTTCAATACGTACTTTTTCCATTTTGTGAATTTCTGAGTTTAATGCAGAGTCCGGTACAGATCTCTCTCATTAAACCCTCGATTTCTTTCTTTTTTAAGTCGCTTGATTTTTTTTTGGGTGCTCGTTGATTCTCGCTCAGTACGACGACTTTCTTTGCAATACGTATTTAATTGTTTTATGGATTTCTGGCATTAAAATTATGAAACAGATTTTTCTGTCCCTCAAGACACCTTCCTTTTTCTTTTTCTCGATTTTTTGTCTACTAGTCTATAGGTACTCTCGCTTACGGTGATGCCGTTCTTTGTTTATTTACTAGGTTACCAGAGTGGCCCGGGGGCACGTGCCCGGCCAGGCCAAAAAAAAAAAAAACAATTTTTTTCAGAACTATTTTTCTAGGGTGCCAGAAAATATAAAAGAGAGTTTTTTTAGAATTATTTTTCGAGGGTGCCAGAGTGGCCCGGAACCACTTGCCTGGCCGGGCCAAAAAAAATAAAACTAAAAATTAATAAATTATTTTTTTAGTTTAAAATTTTATTTTAAACTTGGTAAGAATTTCGATGTGACCCTCAGGCAAAAGTTGTTCAGCTTAATTTTCTGCATAGCATGTTTTTTTTTCGGATTTTTTCGATTTGTTTTTATTTTTTTTTCTCTGGATCCTTCCCTGGTCCTTGCACGGCCGGGCCGCCAGGGAAAATAGGGGGACCTGGGCTGCCCGGCTGGTAGCCTAGCTATTTTTTATTTTAAATGTAGTAAACAATTTCGATATGACCCTGGGCAAACGATGTTCAGTTTATTTTTCTGCATAACATAGTTTTTTTTTCAGAAGTTTTGGATTTTTTAATTATTTTTGCCTGGGACCTTCTACGGTCCATGAACGGCCGGGCGGCACGGCTGGTAGTCTAGTTTATTTACTTGTTTATTTGTTTATTTATTTATAGCTATGATGGCGTTCTCTTCAATTCGCAATCGCCATTTGTTTATTTTTCTGGCAACTAATTCCGCATTCTGTCCAATGAGCACGTATCCCCAATTAACTCCGCATTCTGTCCAATGAGCACGTATCCACGATGAGCACCGAGCACCAAAAGCACGGAATCCACGGATCGACGATGAGCACGTGATGATGCACCAAAGAAGAGCACGGATCCACGATGAGCACGAAAAGCATGTATCCACGATGACCGAGCACGAAAAGCACGGATCGACGATGAGCGCGTGATCATGCACCAAAGAAAAGCACGGATCGACGACAAGCACGTGATCATGCACCAAAGCACGGATCCACGATCAGCACGTGACCAAAAGCACGGATCCACGATGAGCAATGAGCAGCACAGATGAGCAGCAAGTTCCTGTCGAGCACCAAAGGAGAGCTTAGTCCGAGAGAGAGAGAGAGAGAGAGAGAGAGAGAGAGAGAGAGAGAGAGAGAGAGAGAGAGAGAGAGA